AATCTTTCATTCCCATTCCTTGGGAAATGACATGGGAATTGATTTCCCCTCAAATCCATTCCGTGAACCAAACGGGGCCTAGAGTTTGATTTCCTTAACCTCAGGGGCTACTAAACATAGGTTTGTGGTGGTAGAACTAGGCTAGTTTTCAACTGTGATGGGATCTCCCAATGCCCATACTTAGGGTGGAAGTATCTGGAGAACAAAAAGAAAAGAATAAACGTGAAAAGAATAGTGGATCTAATTTGTTGTGCATGTCAAATTCCTATTGATACTCTTCTGAAGGTGTGCGAATCAAAATTTAAAATAAAGAAAGGTTATATTTGAGTTTCTTAGGTATGCGACTTTGTTGAATTAATGTATAAGAAATATGTGAGTCTGTTTATTGTGCATAATGTCCCTGTGCATGTGTGAGTAGCATGTCAGAACTAATTTGGTTGTTAAATATCAAATAATTCGGTAAAGAGGGTTTTGTTATTGTTATGACCTTTCCAGGGAAGATAAACTAGTGGAGCGTGCCAAAGCACTTAAGGTTAATGCTGGAACAGAACCAGATGTAGACCTTGGTCCAGTGATTAGCAAGCAGGTTTAGATGATTCATACCTTTCACAGATTACATAATTCATACCCTATATACGTGTTGTACTGTATAAGTGAAACAAATTTTGAGTCATTTCTTTGCAGCATGATTGAGAATTTTTTGGAAAGATCAGATGCTTGTAGTGTTGCGTCTGGCTTATTATCAGTTCCTATTTACCTGTATTCTTCATTATTTACAGGCGAAGGAACAGATATGCAGATTGATTCAAACAGGTGTTGAAAGTGGTGCAAAACTGGTGCTTGATGGTAGAAACAGTGTGGTAAGGTTTTTTTATTCTCTCTTATATTACACCATGTTTAGTGCGATTTTATTGTGCTCAGTGCTCCAAAGGAGAAAGAGTAATGTGAGGCAGTTTATTATTGGTGAGATAAGGCTTAAACCTTCTAGAATTGATTTTTTATAATTAAATAGTATAAAATAGTTGAAAAGAGCCACTGATCATTATTCAAGCACAGTAATCAATTAAAAAAATGTATAATATTTTTATAACCAGTTGCTAAAAAGTATCGATTACACCTAGGAAAATAATAAAGACAGATGAAAACAAGTATGTCATACATGATCGCCGCTTGAAAGGCTGATTCCACCTGATTCCCGTAGAACTATGGATAAGATGGTATATTGTGTTTGTGGATGGTTGTATGACATGCCACCTACATATAATGGTAAATATAAATGCTATATATTATAGAAAATCAAATCTGACGAATCCACTTTGTCATACATGGCAGGACATGGATATTTTATCTGAAATACGAATTCATTTTTTCTTAACAGAATGTAAAGTAGTTTTAGTATGCATTGAAGAATTGTGGCACAACCAAACTTTGGGGTGGGGGTTTCCATTTAAGGGTTGATTATACCATTTTTTAATATAACTTGAATTCAGTTTTATATCATTTCTTGCCATGGGTGTAGCTCTTTTGGTCAATGCTATATCACTAATTTTGTCTCCAGTTTTGCAAAATATCAGTGGTTAAATATATGACCATTTCTTTCTTTCTTTTCTATTTTTGTTTTGGCATTTGCATTTACATTGCTAATTTTCTATTATGGTTAAGAATTGGTTGTTTGCAATGTATTTTAGGGGCTCTAGCTGTTCTAATTTTGAATTATTGATTTGTAAAAAAATAGGTTCCAGGGTATGAGCGTGGAAACTTCATTGGTCCCACCATCTTATCTGATGTTACCGCTGACATGGAGTGTTATAAGGTGTCTTCATATTATTTGTTTTAAAAAAAACGGAAGATACTTACTGATTTTTCAGTTGAAGACTTGAACTTTCAATTAGTCTTGATCTCCTAGTCCAATGTTAACACCTTATGTTGTGCAGGAGGAAATTTTTGGCCCGGTTCTTCTTTGTATGCAGGTTGATATTCGTAGCTCTTGTTCCTTAATTGACAAATTGGTTGTGTAGTCATGTCAGAACGGATTAAAATTTTTAATTTTTCTGATTGCCAGGCTGACAGCATCGAAGAGGCTATAAACATCGTCAACAAAAATAAGTATTTCCAAACAGAGAAACTCTCTTGATTTCCATAGTGGTACCAGAACCTTTAAAACTTATATCTCCTTGTCTCATAGATATGGCAATGGAGCTTCAATTTTTACGACATCTGGTGTGGCTGCAAGAAAATTCCAGACTGAGATTGAAGTTGGCCAGGTAATGAAAGTTGCTATTAATTATTGGCCGTGATACATTTGATTGAATGTAACTTCTTTTTAATTTGATTTCATTTGAACTGGATTTGGTTCAGGTTGGCATAAATGTTCCTATATCAGTTCCATTGCCCTTTTCCTTGTTTACTAGCTCCAGGCCATCTTTTGCGGGTGATCTTAGTTTTGATGGTAAATTATACGCCCTTACTTGCTAGAGGAAATTATGTTGAGTAAATTAGATAGGGAAGTTTTAAAAATTCATTCAAGCTAGAGATTTTTGAACCTCAGGCAAATCTGGACTTCAATTTTACACCCAGATCAAGACTGTGACTCAACAATGGAAGGATCTACCGGAGTGATGGAGCTGCCCTGTCAACGTCGATTTCATAGAGAGGATGTTGGACATTGATTTGGGACTCATCTTTTAGTCCATATGGGATCTTATTATTAGTAAGCCAGAATGTCTTATTGGTAAATGTCTATCTGTACATAGATGTCTTTATAATTAAATTATATTTTAGAGTTTACTACAAAAAATATTAGAGTTAAAGAGTGGATCAATAAGGACAAGGTTCAACAGCAGTCTCGTTTTCAATCATGGTTGTTGGTTTCTTATCTCCTTTGTTTGGTTCGTAACATGACAACGGCTCCTATGTCATGAATCATGATCCTGAAATAATGTTTCACAAAGGTTTTTGTAGAATTAGATGACATTCACTAACATGATATTTTTCTTTCCCTATATCCATTTAATAATGCGGTTGGTAAATTTTATATCCATACAATTGTTTAAAGGAAATATTTTAACATGTGGTGGTTAGCATTTTTCATTCAAATTCACAACTTGCTTAAACCGGCGAAACCGATGAAATTGGCCGATTCAAACCGTAATTGGACAAACAATGTTGAAATAATGCAAAAGGAAATAGATTGGGCCTAACTAAACTAAATTGTCTTAAATTGGTTTGGTTTGGTTTGTTTTCTCTGTGATTTTTGTCAAAACCAAAATAAATCAAACCATTATATTATAATTGGTTCAGTCGTGGTTTTTAAGTGAAACTGATCCAATCTGGACCGTGCCCACCCCATCACATAGAACATGATTTCGTGCGCATCTTCCATGGATGTGAAGAAATTATAAAGTAGTGCAGACTTACCAGCAGCATGCAATACTTTGTATTTTAGCCGCGACCATGGCTAAAATACGAAGTATCTTCACAAGCATTTAAAGAGCTGGCGGAGCCTCTTGGGAGCGTTTTAAGAGACATGGGATCAGCCCGGATAGGCATCAGCTCTCTTTCCAAACAGAACGCAGATAGGCATTAGTTCGGGGACTAACCTGAGTGATCACCCTTGCCGCCTGAGGATCATATTGTCGTCAATCACTCAACGGGCGGACCAACTGTCATATCCGCTCAGAAACTGACCCGAGCATCACACAAAAAGAATGAACGACCACGAAGGAGCCACATCGATGATAAGGCCTCTCCTAACAGAAGAACAGTACGCCACCTCTAGAACCATCATGACTGAAACGTGGCCAAGCCGTTTAACACAACTTACAAATATCTTGTAAAAGAAACCCATAAATAGAGGGGATCCTCATAAATAAAGGACACACCATTTCTTAGCCAGAAAAGGCTAGAAGCATCATCTTTGTAATTATATTCCTATCCACCTTCAATTAAGAGAATATTCAGATACTTGTCCTTTCCTGTCCATGTTTTTTATTTTTAGAAGTCTCCATCTTCCGTACTCCCACACCTTGGGGTGGTCAAGGTTCTTAAGTCGACCACTGGAATTTGAGGTTCAACAAGTGCAACGCAAGTTAGCTTCGTAGGAGAGATATGAAGTAGAGAGTAGAGAGAAAATTATTATTTTAAAATTATTTTTAGTTATAGTGAAGTGACGCAAATGCCTTTAAATTTACGGGAACTTTTAACGGAGTTAGACGTAAATGGTAGATTTCAACACTTTACAAATTTCAGGTGGTTAAAAATAAAAATAAATATTTCAGATGGTAATAGTGCACATG